ACATAAAAGCTCACCTGACCTGTTTTCCTGTGGGAAAACCAACGCCTTCAAAGGAATAATGATGTTTTTCCAGCACTGAATACAGAAGGATAACTGACAAAGAAAAAATAAACTTTACACCTTCTGATAGGTACAGTATGTTGCACTTCTCGTTCATTTCACACATGAATCTGTTCTGTGTTAGCTCCTCTTTCTAGCTGCAGTTATAAGGAAATGAATAAGCTCACTATTCATTATAACTATTTAAGTAAAGACAGAGGTACTAAGTCAATTCAGTACTGTAACTCACTGTTTACATGTACTTACCATTAAAAGTTTAGCTTGAACTTGGCTCAATTATGACCGTCGAACTCTGACGATGTTCTTGATTTACCATAAATGTACTTATAGCCATGCTGCATACCTTTTAATTACTTTTTTTTTTTGGCTAAACAGAGCGTGCATAAAAACATCAAAGTCAAAGGACAGGCAGAAATTGCATTAAGTAATCCCATGGGTAGGGCTAAAAACATATCATTAAAAGAGAAAAGATGAAAGTGTAGTTAAACTGATAAATGTTCTCTTGAATTTTTACTTGTTTTGATGAAGATATAATTTGTTTTGAGCATCCTTTGATAAAAGAAAGTGTAGTACTTGATCAAAATCAAGAAGTTTGATCTCAGATTTGCTGATAATTAATTTGTTTTCTCTGCTGTGAGAATATGTGGCTTAATTAGTGCGGTGGCTAATGTGCCACACAACACATTCATGTCTAACCTGATTTGTGATGATAATAATTACAATTATTTGAAATAATCACCAATCATTCTCATATGGGAGGTGCAATGTCAAAGCTGTTATTGTTTTCCTCCCGTGAGTCAGAGTGTGTGCGTCATTGTGACGGTGCGGTAACTGGAGATACCTAGTTCGTTAGAAAACACCACAATGACAGTTTTACTTTGGCAGGCGTCTATGTGTCCGTTTGATTTTGGAAACAGGAAAGCATCTCAATCAGGACAGCTCAGCGTTTCTGCCCCCGGAGTTTTAATTACTGATGTTAAAGCAAATGCAACTCCTGTTCAGCAGCCTTGGGGACGAGTTCAGCGTTGCTTGTATTTGAGAGGCTCTACTATATCTGGACTCCAAAGATTCCTTGTTGGTATCAGCAGGCATCATGGTAGAGACAGGCAGGAAATGCAGAGCCCAGGAATGCCTGGAGGCATCAGAGTCCCAGCTGAAACACAAGCTTTTTGTGTTCGCGGTGGCATCTGGTCAGGCAAAGGACAAGTGCCATCAAAGAAGAGCGGAACAGCGTGATGGTGGACATGCAGCACCAGGTTACGTGGATATGGTGGGAGCATACAGTGCAGAATGAGAGCTTGTTGACTGACAAAAACCCAAAAAGATCGACTCACATGCATATCCTCTTTGCTATGAAAGCAAGACCACATGCTAAAGACCATCACTGTTACCATCTCCAAAACCAAGAGCAAACATATCTGCCAGCAGAGACTGGGGAACTGCTACAATCTCAGCCTAAACCTGCAACGTGGCTGCTCACCTCTGGATCTGGAGAGATATAGAAACTTCAAAGAGGCCAGACACAGCACCTCTATCAGTCTCCTCCATGCAGTTGCTCCTATTAGAGCTCACAGTTCCCACATGGAGGAGGCAAATGAAAAAAAGAAATCCACATATCAGGAGCTGGTGGGGCTCTGCAGGAGGGGAGACTGGAAGGCATGCCGCAAGCTTATTGAAGTGGGGGGCAGAGGATTCACAGGTTGGTCACTGTGGAGGATCTACATGCTACTCCACATCACAGGGGCTGAGAAAACGTGAAAGAAAGAGCCTCCTGTTGGCTTTGGA